TCAACTGAATTATTTACAAGTGAAGCACCATCAATGGTTTTTTCCAATAATTTATTTGTTTGTAGAGATAATATTCCTTGCCCAGCCATTGTTGATTAAAACAGTACGAATGTTTTGAATTACCGCCATTTCAATATGACAGCTACGCTTGCGCTCGTCTTATGATGAAAAGGCCTATTGTTACGTCGCGCACCGAAGTGTCTACGCCTATGGGAATTACCCGCCGCTGAGAAAGTAAACACGCTGCGAACATCCATCGAAAGAACCGGAATAATGTGGAACACAGCGAAGATTGCGGAACGAATGGAAGACAGTAGAGTGTTCGAGATACTAGATTAACGGTATATAAGGCAGCCGACAGGCAAACACGGAGTAGTCTGAAATCAGAGCGCGGAAATTTGAATGCAACAGCGAGGAAGACGTTACAGTGTGAATTGAAGTATTGTTATTAGTAAAAGTGTAAATTGTGTAGTTGAATAAAGTTATTGAGTTTGAATAAGTGTACCACTGGTTTATTAGTTATTTATTATCCACCCACGCAAAAGAGAATTTAATAAAACGCAAGGACGTAACAGTAGTGACAGCGGCGGAATTAATAGTAGTACTGAAGACTGAGATGGCGGAGATAGCAAATATCCGCGAGTACTTGAAAACGATGAACGAGGAACAAGAAAGAAAAAGAAAAGAGGAATTGGAAGAACAAGAAAGAAAACAAGACTCATTCTTGAGACATTTGGGTAAGCAACAAAGTGAGCTTTTGATGAATATGATCGAGGGCCAACGAATTTTCCAGAGGGAAATAACTGAAAAAGTTGAAGGTGATATCGAGGAAGTCCGAGTTGAAGTACATACTTTTATGGAACGTGTAGGAAACGAGTTGGAGAAAGCCAACAAGCGGTCCATGGAAGTCAACAAGCGAGTCATGAAGGAAGCCAACAAGGTTACGGAAGAAATGAATGAATTGAAAGACCAACTCGATCATTCCCACATGGCCAGCCAACCGATGCTACTTGGGCATAGTGTCCCTTCCTCAGTAAGGAGAGTTCTACCGGCAACATCAAGGACATCTCAAAGTGAAACATTGAAGCCTCCTGCTTTCGATGGCCAGTCATCATGGGTCATGTACCATCTACAATTCGAAGCGGCAGCCTACGCCAACGGCTGGACGGAGGAAGAAAAGGCTACTGCATTGGTACTGGCACTGCGAGGTCAGGCTCTGGAAATACGCCATAACATTCCGGAGAGTAGTCAAAACGATTATCAGAAGATCGTTAAAGCCCTGGAAAGACGATACGGGCAACAATATTTGAAACAAGTCTATCAGAGTCAATTGCGGTGCAGACATCAGCAACCCCAGGAGTCCTTGCAGGAGTATGGGGCAGATATAGAACGACTAATCAATATAGCCTACCCTCAAGCCCTCAAGGAATTCGTAGTACAAATTGGAGTGCATTATTTCACTGACGGCCTGAAAGACGTTGAAATGTAGCAAGTCCTGAGGTTAGGACGACACCTTACCATAAACGCAGTATTAATAGCGTCTTTGGAATTCGAGGCAGCGAAGAATGCTTCAAGAGGAGCAAAGCCAAAGTTGAGAGGAGTGACCTTCATTGAAGAAGCAACGCTGCAGGAACAAATTAATGAACTGCAGGATAAGCTAAAGGCGATCACCTCTGGACAAAAAGCATCAATAAGGAAAAGAGAACCTTCCGGAGAAAAGCGTTGCTATAATTGTGGAATACTGGGACATCTACAAACGGATTGTAGAAAACCACGGAGATCACAAAGCCTGCATAGGCGAGAGAATGCACGGGACGAGAGAAACCGCAGATCAAGGCAGCATAGCCCAATGAGAGGAAGCGATCACGTGGCAGCAAGGAGGTACGACAGGTCCCCCAACACTGGAAAGATGGCGCAGGTTCCCAACGCCAGAAAGGTGAGGGGGCCCTCAAAACGACCATCAGGGAAACGAGTAGTAGTCGGCACTTCGGGGCGTGTGTCGGCTTGCGGTGCTCAAAGCCCCAGGATTTCTATTTCGACAATTAAGAAGACCTTAAAGAGCCTACTGGTCCAAGGTCAGCTGGACAATAACGCATTCACATTCACTATCGACACAGGAACCTCCAGATCGGTTGTTCGACCTGATATGATACATAAAACTATGAAGTCAGTTCGGAAGAACTTAATGTTGGAAACGGCTACAGAACAAACGGAACCAGTAATTGGAGAAGTCATTGCGAGCGTACGGATAGGTTCAACGACCATCGAACATCCACTTTTAGTAGCCGAAATCATGGATGAGTGCGTCCTCGGCCTCGACATTATGGAACAGAACGGATTTATTTTGAACATCAAGGACGTAACAGTATCTATAGAAGAGAGACAAATCTCCAATCTTTTTCCGACTATCAAGGTTGCAAGTGATGTTCGCGTCCCCAATCATGCGAATGGTTCTTTTCTGGATGAAATCCAGCAATTTCAGGTTTTATTTGCAAGCGGAGCTCTATACATGAGAACAATACTCCAAAGAAGCTATGATCTGAGCTTTATAAAGTATGGAGTATTTACAGTTTTCTGGTTCGGAACAGTATTTCAAGCTTTCAAGAAGCAGCCTTCGCAATTGTGTCAAGACATAATGGTGTCCATTTTAACCCTCAAGAAACTTATCGAAGCAGAAAGCGGAATTGTCTGACTTGACATTATTATATCCGGGTCGATAACATTTATCTTTCTGGAGAAAACCGATGCCTGGGTTTTTGTGGCATTGAATGGAACTTCACCCCAATTCAAAATTACTTTCAGATCCTCATTGAGATATTCAACCTCCTGCTGCCAGTGAAAATGTGCATCCGCAGCAGATGTCCTGGAATCCAAATGTAATGACGAGACAAGTGTGCTGTCGTTAGCAATGTGTGATTTTATTTCTTCCTTGAATTAATGAATATTATGATTTAAAAGGGCTTAAATTTCATTCAGATGAGAAGGGGCTATATAAGAAAAACATTCTTGAAATTTGGAAGTACGGTGCCTAAGTATGTTGAATGAGTTTATTCTCAAATTGACTATATCTATGGCAGAATGCCTGCTTAATGAACTATATACATAACTAGGTGTTTTAGTTTGAAGCAACTTGAACAAAAAATGTTTTATCAAATATTGGACTCTGTACCTCACATTCAGCTCCTTCATTTTCACCAAAAATGGTGTGACATTTTCACCATATGGTATACAGCATACGAATCGCATGCAAGCATTTGGTATACGTTGTAACTTCTGCTTGCTATATTGCGGCAAAAAAATTGTAATACACTAACTAACCTGAGTTTCATTTCTTCTGATAACTGATACTTGAATTTATATAGCGATTTGAGTTTGAAGAATGATACTTTGAAAATGTTTGTCACATGTTCATGGAAAGACAAAGAGGTATGTATCTATGGTTACGCCAGGATTTTTAGCACTGTCTACCCAGTAAATGTCTGCGTTGTCGACAGTGAGCCTAAAGTTACACTGAGTTTCTTCCATTTATGTTTGAGACCCTATGCATAAGGCCAAAGTTTCATTTGGATTGATTTTCAGTCCATGATTCTCCGAGTATAGGAATGTTTTGTGCAAATCTGTGTTTATATTAGCCACGCAACTTTCTGTATCGGTGTTATGAGAAGACAAATATAACTGTATATCATCTGTATATCATAGATGTACTTGACGATGTGATAAGAAAGTGGGGTAATCAAAAATAAACACTGACTACATCAAGGGTCCTAAAATACTTCCCTGCGGTACACCTGAGATTGTTTCTTTTGGGGATGACCATGAGTAATCATTCACTTTGACCCTCTGTGATCGGCCTGTGAGATAGCTGGTCATCCATTTAAGAGAAATGTCATCGAATCCTATGAACTTGAGCTTGCTGATGAGTAAATCGAAATTATATAAATCGAAAGCTTTACTTTGATCAAGCAATACTAAAATGGTGACTTTTGATTGATCTCTGAATCTCGCAAGATCGTCGATTACTTTCAACAGGGCGGAATCCAGACTGCTCGTACGGGAGAATTCGATTTTTTTTAAGAAAAGCTCTTATTTGACGAGAAACATTTTTCTCGAATATTTTAGAGAATGAGGGCAGAATGCTGTTAGGGCGTAGGCATAGGGCGTGCTAGATGCTTTCTTTTTCGGAATTGGAATTATTTTAGCAACCTTCCAAACATCTGAAAAAATACCCTGTCTGAAGGACTCGTTGAAAATATGTTCAACTTCATCAATACAGTGAGGTATCACTGAAGAAATCATCTTGATTTTTATATTGTCAATACCTGAAGCATTAGATTTTATTTTTTTGATAGCAGTCAAACTATCATCATCACATATATCGGCGAGGGAAAAGTTCATAGGAGCATTCAATTCATTATCATTGTAGAATGAAAGAGTGTTATTATTTACTATTGAATGTCCAGCCACGATTAAAAAATAGTCATTGATTTCTTCAGGGGTCTACGTAGTTCAATTGGCAGGCTATTGGTTTGCGAGGATGATTTTGTAGTAACGCCCCAATCTGCAAGATTACTCAATGTCATTTTTGAATTATTTTTATTTTCGTTCGAAACAAATTTTATATATGCTGTTTTTTCACGTTTCACTGCGTCACTGACGTAGTTGCGTAAAGTTACATAGTACTTACTGCCTAGCTGTTGCTGCCTTTTCTTCAAGATATTTGGCATGAGCTCTATCACGGGTTTTCATCATCAATTTGATATTATAAGTTATTTACGGGGATGCTTTATGTTTTCTGTTTACAGTGCAAATTGGCGCATGTTTGTCAAAATGCATAATGATGCATTTCCAAATGATAACATGTTGTTTTCGTTGAATGCGTGGTGGGTACTTACTTTACTCTGTCTACATTTTGCAAAGGGAACCCGAAATTGACAGAAGCGAACAAGACTTCACCGATCTCACCAGAGTCCATTAGCCTCCTCGCTTCCAAATAAGCAGGAAAACATCGAGACCATACTGCTTCCATAAGGAACAACTTTTTTTCTTGTGCTATTTCGTATAATTTCCTAGTCTGTTTTTCGTTGAGGGTCAGTGGCTTCTCGCAGAGCACATGTTTTCCGTGATTAAGCATCAATTTTGTCGTCTCAAAGTGTTGGGGGTTCAGGTTGCCAACGTATACTATATCTGAAAATCAAATGCAAATGATAGGTTAGTGAGTTTGTGGAGAAATAAAATTGTGAAGCATTCTACTCCGATGAAGATGAAAGCCCTCAGCAGTCGACGGTGTTTTTGAAATGGTTTGAACTCAAATAGAATTGTTTGAAAAAGAATTACGGAATTACTTGTATTTGCGTATGTTGCTGCGGCATCTGCAGATAAAATGTTTGGTATAGTCGAAGTAAACGTTATTGTTCATACTTCAAGGTGTCCGCGCTCTCAAACTGAAATGAAGCCGCTCCCAGATACTCCACGTGGACTGAAGAATTGGACGTTCGTATTGTATGATTTTTACTAACCGAGTTATATGATTGGCTCAAGAATCATAAAATTAAATTTAAATTCCTGTTACGGTGACGAATAGAATGCGAGGATAGTTATAGCCGTTGTGTTGTCAATGTTCAGTTCAGGAACTGATCGCGGTTTTGAGTGTTGAAATTCGATATTGGCGCAGTTATATTTACCTAAAATGTTTGTTATCTGTTTGAAATGTGGCGTCCTTGGACAAGTACTAATAGTAATAACGAGTGTGATAACAACGCAGACTTTTTTCTGTGTAGTGGTTCCAATAGCGATTGTGAACAATGCGAAAAAGAGATACCAGTAAATAAGATTCGGATGCATTTGAATATTGAAACACAGAGAGTATGTTTCAATGTATATAAGAATCTACATCTCAAGTTTGCTTTCGAGTGAAACAAACATCAGATTTAACCGTAATTCCTTTCTCAACTCTACATAAAATAGTCAAAAATAAACCGTATGAACTCAAGACGCAATGTGATACGGGATCACTAAAACCTTCTAATAAAATCATTGAAAAAAACAATATATGACTGTTACAACAGCAATGACATTCCTACAACTGAAATCGTAAGGAAGAAATTGAATACTTCCGGTCATAACGTGAGCTGCTGTGACAATGCTTCACAAATGGATGAAAAAACTAGGATTTAGATTAAAAATAATAACCAAACGTCAAGCAGTTATGGAAGCAGAAGAATAGTGGAATTGTGTAACAAATACTTAGAACAAATAACTAAATATAGGCAAGAACAACGGCAAGTTTTATATTTGGACGAAAGTTGGTATGACACTTAAGACACAGTCACGAAAGGGTGAACTGATGGTTCGAGAATGTGTACGCCTAACATGCCTGCAAACAAAGGATCGCGACTAATCATTGTGCATTGCGGAGGAAGTAAAGGATAGGTTCCGAATTCTTTGAAATTATGTGGAAAAAAACTTGAGCACTACAATGTTGACTATCATAAGAACATCCAAGCTGATATTTTTGAGATATGGTTTGAAAACTCCTTGACACCAAATTTGGATGCGAATAGTGTAATAGTTCTTGACAACGCTTCCTATAATTCGAGGAAAGATGAAATACAAAGTTTTTTAATGGATGAAAATTTTTATTTTGAAGATAACTATACCAAAAACCAACTACTTGAATTCCAACCGTGAAAGCCTATGTTCTTATATTACGCCTCGCTCTGAGAATGTAATTGTATAGCGAAACACTTATTAAGGTTTTGTTAACTGTTCAGCGAAAATCTTTAAAATTGAAGTGTTATTTCAATAGAAGAGAATCATTTGAGATTCTGATTTTCATAGGCATTTGAGTATACTGAAGTGATAACATTTTCTCTATGAACCTTTTACAATTTTCATAAACATGATAAGGTTATCTGCACATAACCTACATTCCTTTGAATCATAGAATAGTTGTTGAAATATTCAATATGGTACTATCATAAAATACCTATTTCCATTATAATCCATATTCACCGATAATGAACAATGTTGAAATTGATAATATGCAAAAATAGTTTACGAGTTTTCGTTTCAGTAAAACAGTTACAAGGTAATAGGCGAGTGATTAAACATGAAATTTTTCAATTCATTTTGAATTTGTCGACGGAACGAGAAAGTTTTCCCAAAAATTGGAAGATGCACTCGTTATACAAATATTTAAAAAAGATATACTGATCTTTATGAGATTTATAGAGGAAATATTTTGAATGCTTCCAAGCATTTCAAATATTTTAGAGCTGCATATTAAGAAGCAATTAATGTCTTTTTTGCCGCGGATAAACAATTTTCACCGGATCAGCATGGTTTCACCCAGAACAAAAGTACTAAAACGACACTGTATAAATTCGATGAACATGCCATGAATGCTCTTGATGGCAAACCAAGCATCTGTGGTCTTATTTGCAGGGCAGGACCCAAAAAGCTGTGATTCGAAATACCTACTGTAGTCAGTCATCAACCTGTGTGTTCCACAAGGCTCAATTCTGTTTCTCATATACGCGAATAACCTGTTGCAATTCATAAATGGTCTCACGGAAATACATGTGGTTGCTTATACAGACGACACCAACTTCCTCATCAAGGAGAACAATGCAAGAGCATTTGTTTGAAGGTGGTTGACAATGTTTCGTGGTGTATTTTATCAGTTCGGACTTCCATTGTCTAATATAATATAAATTGATTTAAAATCCCTGAAAAAAATTAAAAAGATTTTGCAGATAAAACAGAAAATGTCTACGAGGAGGGGGTAACAAGGGCAAAAAAAGCATTCATCACTGAATATCATTGATGAAAGTCTTAGTGAATTCTTACCGAATTTTAGCATCCATGAGAACGAAACAAACAACGAGACAACAACAAAGATGCTAGGCCTTACACTTGACTGCAACTCACCTGGATCCCTCACATTGAAACTCTTTGCGACAAACTCCACTGAAATTGCACTGAGTTTTATGTCCAACCATTGCAGTAAACAGGTTTTATTGAATCTGTACTACGAGTATAGAACAATACACTGTCATATACGGTATGGAATTATGAACTGAGGCACTGAATCATATGCAGTGAGGGTTTTTACACAACATAAATATACCACCAGAACTGTTGCTCACATAGGATGGACGCAATCTTGCAGGAACATTTTCAAAAACTCAAAATACTCACTGTGGCGTGTATTTATATTTATGAATTATATGCATATACATGTACAAGAATGGTCATAATTTTACATCTAATCAGCATAAATACCTGACCTGCTCTAAAAACGTATTAATACACCTTATGCACCGAACAACTATATACGAAAAAGCCTTCCTTCTCTTGGACTAAAATTTTACAATTAGCTTGATGATTCGGTAAAAAATGCACCAAATGTCAATATTTTCAAATCGAGACTGAAAGCTGATCTAACAGAAAGAAAATTGATATACCCTTGAGAAATTTCAGGCTAGGTGTTTTTTTTTCTTCTTTCACTTCTTTCACTTCTTGTCACTATTCGACATTACTATTTTTTTCAACTTTTTGGTTGTTACCATGACCCTCAATTTTACTGTTGGAGTATTTCGCCACTTGTATGTGTTTACATTTTTTTTCTCTATATTTTTTTCACATTTCTTTCAAATTATTAAGCTAGGTTCTTGTGTGTGAATATATGTATATGAAAAGCACAAAATCTTATGTCGTTTTTCTTGTTATTGTACTGATTGAATATCCACTTTTGTGTACACTTTATCAAGCGAAATATATGAATTATTATTAATATTATTATTTCCAGAATTATAAGCACACATAATTTTCAAACTCTGTTTTTAAACTGATAGAGCTCAACTATAGCGCTACCAGAAGTTTTCTGAAAACCATAGCAATACTAATTTTTTCCTAACATATAACAGCTCCGAACGTCAGCTGCTCCGATAACGGTGGAGCTAAAGGAAACAGCATGAAAAAGTTATCAATAAAAATCTGCTCCGTTGATTTCTATACAAAGTAAAAAGTATTGAATCATTCTATCACATTTTTCAAACCCCATTGAAAATTTGACAAATAAATTTATTTTGAAACTTATGAAATTTGTACATATACATTTTTATACTTTTGAAGCAATAAAAAAATCACCAGTTGTATTGTATTTTTGACGGGGAAAAGACCGTCAGCGCAATGAATATTCTACACGCTCAATGCATTTGAGCGTTGCATACTCTCTACTCTCTTTGGAAAATGAACTGATGATCTTTGCACCCACAAACAATTAGCTGACGACGATTTTTCGTTTTTTCAACATTCAAATTATCTCATACTCCTAATTCAATAAGTATAAACCTCTTTATTATCACTTTACTCGGCCAATATGAAGGGTCGTACAAAATGTCACGAAGTTGCATGTCTGCCCCAATCTTGAAAGATTTTTATCTTCCCACAGAACTAAGTTCTGTAATTCAAAACTGAAACCCAGCAGACTACTTCTCTAGATTACCTTGTCTGCCGTCGAATGTGATTTGCAGCGCTCAGCATACAGCCAAAGCCTTGGTTCACCCCCCCCTAAAATCACCATCATAATCAACTGAATTCGTACCTACGAGATATTTGATTTCCTTCTCATCCTTTTTTCTTGGCAGCTGTGTCTGCTGTTCTGTAAAGTTACCTATCAAATCTGCTGGAGGACCTTGACATAAATGACTGGTCCAGTCATTTATGTTCGACTAAATCTTTATTCTTCATATCACATAAGAGTCTCATCAACTCGATGTTAGAATCTTTGAGATTTTTCATGTCTATTTTCAGAGTTGATATCTCATTCAATAATATTTGAGTAAATTTTTTTAGCTCGATTTCAACTAAACTTTTGATTATTTCCAATAATTGATTTTCATTGTTACCGTCAACTTTGGTGCCAGTAGTCACCATTTTCATTCAAATAACGTAAAACAACTGGATTTCTCAGGAAACACACATGAACACGTCGGTTCACTATCTCCGTAGGTTTTTGTAAATATCGTCAGTTTATTTTCCAAAGAGACTATGCAACGCTCAAATGCATTGAGAGCGTGAAAAGTTTATCACACTGGCTGACGGTCTTTTCCTCATCAAAAATACCACTGACAATCCTGTTCATTATTTTGAAAGAATAAAAATTTACATGTATACACATTTCTTAAGGTATTAAATGAATTAATTGGTCAACCTTTCAATGAGGTTCATGCAAGTGACCTCCCCTCGTCAATACAGCTGACGATTTTTTTTTAAAAATGTGATAGAAACAATAGGTAACTCAACACTTTTTTGCTCGGTATAAAAATCATCGGAGCTGTTTTTTTTTCAATGATTTTTATGATACCTCCTTCAGCTCCACCGCTAGAGCGGTCATAGATGCTTACTTTAATGATTTCTGAACGTCAAACAACTGTTTAAAATGAAATTCATACGGTATAAAATTCCAAAAAAAATGCAACGCTACCTTCCGTACTACCTATATTGGTAACTCTCACAATTACAACGATGACAGGTTCACAATTACCAAAAGACAGGTTCATTAAAATTAATTAATAAGTTCAAAAAATTAAATTGCACTCACCAACATCTTTATCCTGTGCCAGCGCTTCGTATCCTTCGTAAGATTTAGGTATTCCATGATCCTTGGCAAACTTATCGGCACTGCTCTGCGATCTCGCAGCCACAGCCACGAATTCATGTGAAGATGAGGGATAAGTTTGGGTTGCGTTGACAAAATCGTGTGAAATTCTGCCAGCACCAGCAACACCCCACTTAAGAATCAACATTATCACTCAAAGAAGGCTCAATTCGTCCGGAATAAAGGAACGTATCTGTAGCGGTTAGTTCACAATTAAATCTGTGACTTAACTGACTGACAGCAACAGCGTGACCGCGTGACGGCTTCCTAATCAGTAATATATCTGCTACAGACATAGGCGGCGTGAAAAATTATTTGGAGGGATTATAATTCTGAGTAATAGGCGTAAAGTACGGATAATAATGAACGTCCTTTCTGGTGAATGCCTGAATCTTTTGTTGAATGTTTTTCTATAGTTATTGAAAAGTTAAATAAAAGCTGTAGTGAAAACCAGCATAGACTTATCTTCAGGCCCTAATTCAAAATATCAAAATAACGTTGTTTTTTATAATGAAACTTTGGAAAATGGAAATTAAAATATCATATGTTTTTATAAAAAAACGTTACCGACTACCTGATGTTCTCCTACCACATTGTTAACGGCTACATCCGCATCAATTCAATAATAATCTGTTTTAAAATCTGTTTTTCCGTTAATCAGCTGTCGCATAATAATGAAACTATATTCGTTATTTCTTCAACGTATAGAGATTTTGTGTGTGTGAATAAAATTTCAGTCTTCCTTGCAAAAACACGATTTCGTCCAATTTGTCTATTTTGTTAAGGACAAAACACAAGCACTACAGGAAAATCTTTATGGCCCTCTAAGAGCTGTGCCTGGGCGAAAGTAGCGATTCACTTCTCTGGAGAATAAATCCATTTGGGAAAACGTTCACAGGAAGTTAATTTCCACATGAACGCAATTCTTCAAATAAAGGATTTCTCAAACAGTGAAGTTCGAGGTGTACTGAAATGAACCTCAAAACGATTAACAGCAACATTCCATCTCGTATTTCTGATATGTACCGCTCTCGGTGGAATCAATCGTGTCAAATCACTTGAACACTTCCCGTGAAATGATATATAGAAAAAAAATCTGCCTCCATCTTCAGAAATGATATTTCTTTATTGAGATTTTCAGTTGAATTGCATATCGTTTTAGCTCTTTTGTAAAGGCAATTATTCCTTTTTTAACACTTGCATGATAATTCGATGTATAGTGAAGATATCTATTTGTATGAGTTTTTTTCCGATAAACATTTGTATCAAATTGCTCTGATGACTTCTCCAACATTACATCAAGGAAAGGGAGTCGACCATCTTGTTCAATCTCTATTGTGAACTTCATTGTCAGCTCCCGCTCGTTGATATAATTTAAAAAAGCATTCCGGTCATAATGGTTTCTATTATTATTTCTATTCATTAATTAAATCTGTTTTTTAAAAGATAACACTTATCCAGATTCGTTCATGAATGCAACGTTAAATGCAATAGAAAATAAGTAAGTAATCAATTAAAAACCAAACAAACATACAAACAGCTTCACAAATTCAATAACATCCAACTCAACAATTACCGACTCAACATCTACCGACACCTTTCACAACTAACGTTATACCTTACATTCCAAGACCATCTGAAAAAAATAAGACGAATTGGAAATAGGTATGATGTTAAAATACTTTCAAGACAAAAAATACACTGGGATCATTCCCATATTTATTTCAATTTAAGAGCCACCGGTAGACAGCTGTTTCAGCCTATTGAGCATCATCAGTACCGGGCAGGCGGTCATCATCGATAGAAGACAAAATGAGAAAAACCAAGAAACTACTTGATGAAAATAGCTGCATAAACGCAAGCGAAACATAAGTGGAACCACCTATCGGTGTGACACCCAAGTCAACATGCCAAGTTTTTATGTCAGTGTTGGTGGTTCGACCAATCAACCGACAACTGCGGTAGCAGAAATTTGGGAAGCTTACCTGAAATGCCATCGGAAAACGAATCCACATGTTTCTAGAAATTATATGAAATCTAGAAAAGTTAATGCAGTCAAGCTGCTGGAAAATAATTCCATGAAAATAAAAAAATAAATATATAAGTACTTTTTGATCATTCCCATATTGATTTCAATTTAAGAGCCACCGGTAGACAGCTGTTTCAGCCTATTGAGCATCATCAGTACCGGGCAGGCGGTCATCATCGATAGAAGACAAAATGAGAAAAACCAAGAAAGTACTTGATAAAAATAGCTGCATAAACGCAAGCGAAACATAAGTGGAACCACCTATTGGTGTGAGACCCAAGTCAACTTGCCAAGTTGACCTGGCAAGTCAACACGGAACCTGTATAAACTGTACCAGTTTATACAGGTTCCGTGTTGAATGTTCATATTCTTCTGGGCGTAATTTTGTACGTCCATATATTGCCTGCCTCCTGTGATTCAGTGCCTCACATTCGCATAAGATGTGTAGAGCTGTTTCTATCCCTTCAATGCATAATCTACAGCTGAGGTCTCCGTTGTACTGCCCCATTTTATTCAGGTGTCCTCTAAGCGGACAATGACTGGTTAGTAACCCTGTCATTTTTCTGAGCCGATCCCTACTATATTGAAGTAGTTCTTCGGTTCTTTTCTCGGACGGTTCCCTATAAAGGTTCTACTGTGTTTGTACTTTTGTCCAGTAATCTGTGTGCTTCTTATTGGTCCATGTCCTAATCTGGTTTCGTACCAATGATTTTGGTACCCCCAGAGCTGGTTCAGGACCTATATATAAAGTTGATGATCCGCGTCTAGCGCATTCATCAGCTTTATCATTACCTGTGATTCCTGAATGCCCTGGCACCCAGTACAAAGTTAATTTGTTCCTGTTTGCAAGTTCATTTAGTTCTTCATGGCATTCCCAGACTAGTTTTGATGTCACCTTCGAGTTTGTCAGAGCCCCTAGTGCGCTCTTGCTGTCTGTAAAAAGATTGATCCGCTCATTTCTTTGAGGTCTCAATTCAATAACCCTCGCACATTGCAAGATCATACACTTCCGCCTGAAAGACGGATGACCAATGGTCTTCCACTCTTCACGGCTTATGATTTTGGTCGTGGAGTTTGTGTTAAAGTTGTACTTTGGTGTCATGTGGTCCTCCACATGACACCAAAGTACAACTACAAACTACAACAACGAACTACAAAAGATCGTACCGAAATTTCTGTTCGGTCCGATCTTTTGTAGTTCGGTGAGTTTTCCAGTCTGAATTGGCACATCCTGGCTTCCCCCATTATCACAAAGTGTAAAGGAGGTAGATTCAGAAGTGTCTCCAATGCAGCTGTTGGAGTAGTTCTCATTGCTCCCACATGCAAGTCTTTGCACCATGCCTAGTTTGTTGCCTGCTTCATCTTTGGCCACCAGACCAGAGATGCGTATGTTATCATGGGTTCAACCACCATCGTGTATAGCCAATATACCATGTCTGGTTTTAGCCCCCATGTTTTTCCATAGGTGCATCCGGCGAGTATCAGTGCTACCTCCGCTTTCCTCTCTATCCTGTCCAAGTGTTGGTTCCAGGTCAGTTTGGAATCTAGGATCACTCCCAGATATTTATCCTTCCCCGAAACTTGTATTTCTTCACCTCGAAGTTTCAAAGGTCCGAGACCCTCCTTTTTAGTCCTCTTGGTGAATGCTACTATGGTCGATTTGGATGGGCTTATGTTGAGCCCTTCTTCTTCGGTCCATCTTGTTATAATTTTCAGGGCCTGCTGCATGCATCCCTTCACTACATTATTGTATTTACCCTGGACTAAGATGACTAAGTCGTCTGCATATCCCAGTGCTTTATACTCGTTATGGTCCAAGAGACATAGTAGCTCGTCCATTACAAGGTTCCATAACAAAGGGGATAGACCGCCCTCCCTGAGGACAGCCCTAGATATTAGAATGACTTACTCATTTTTGCTGTTTATGAACAACATTGTTTTTTTCAGTATCTTTTATTGTGGTACATAAAAAAACACTCTGCATTTTGTTGACAATCATTTGTTTCAGAATACCTCTAACTTGAGATTTCATTCGTTGAAAAATGTCATGGCATGTCTAAATAATATTTCGTTCACACTTATCTTGTCAACTGTTTTGAAACTCTGGTTTTGTTCACAAACATGGATCAGATTACTTACGTCCAATCATCAACAACAACACGTATGTATACTCGAATTTTATCCGTTTGAAAGGTGATTCTTAATTACTAAGACAATTTTCTGTTGATAAAAATTAAGTGTATTTTTGATTGATTGGTGCTTGTGAAGAAATGGAAAACGCCATCGCAGCAAAGCTCTCCCGCTCCATTTTGAAGATCACTATTGACTGCATCAACATCAATCAAAAATACGAAACAATAGATAATACCATGTACAGCGATACAAAAGCCATCCAGTTATTTCCAATCCAGAAACTCCATTCATTCCATACTCTCTTAACCGTTTTATGGAATGAAGTAAGGTGAAAATTCAAACTCGGGTGTTACAAATCGAAATTAATTACGAGTCATACTGAAAAAGTCACTTCGCTAGTCGACTACAATCAAAATGAAGCTGGGAGGAAGAAATTTCATAATTTAAAATTCCTGGAGAGCATAACAGGGCCGGCTTGAGTGATTTTATAGCGCCAGTCAAGAAAGGATATATTGATTACCCTAAGAAAATGTGAACATTCATATAATTTGAATGGAACATGAAGAAAAGAGAAATGAAACTTTCTATGTTCTTCTCTAACATATTTTGGAAAAAAAACAGAGATAACTGCGGGTTTCTTCAGAAAAAACAATGTGGAAGTGGCATTCAGATCACATGCCAGGCTATCTCATTTTCTTTTCAATGCCAAAGATAAGGTGGACAAGTTGGAGAAATCTGGAGTTCATGAGCTTAAGTGTCCGGAGTGTAATAGTCTTAATGTGGTACAATGTGGCCGAAATTTCCAAAAACGGTATGCTGAACATGAAAGGTTTTTCAGACTAGGAAAAAATTATTCGACGTTTTCAAACCATTCCTTGGCATGCATCCACAGGTTTCCGAATCTAAACGATACGGAAATTTTGCACTATGCAAGGAAGGGTTACAAACTCAATTTTTTAGAATCCTTGGAAATTCACAAGCATAAACACTGCGGGTGCAACCTGTTAAATGATCAAATCGATTTAGTTTACTCACCAGTTTTTAAATTGGCACATCCGCATTGTAAACTGAAATTTCAGGTACTCAATCAAACCAAGTATCT